ACTAAAAAAAATATAATAATCAAGCAATTAACGCAGAAGGCGCAATATTAGATTTATGGCGAAATTCGTAAGATTCGTAAAACTCGTAAATCTGTTAAACAGACGCGTCTTCGTTGATTGCATTTCCGCCAGCGAGAACAGCAAAACACCGCCCGACACCGACACCAATGCGATTGTGATTGCGAATGTGGCTGCAAATTGTTTCGAATGACGACGTGTTTGCGAGTGGCGACTCTTGGCGGCGGCGGCTGCTGCTGTTGCCAACGAATGGTTGTTGGAGCTGCATCGGCGCGAAGCCATCACCAGCACCAAACACAGCCACACCAACACAATAACAAGCAAATAGCATGAGCAACAACAACAGCCACGTAGCGTCATACGACAAACGCTAGAAAGAAAGTCGCCAAAATCGCAAGAATGAGAAGAAAAAGAATTTTAGGCAAAAACGATTCATCGAGCTTTTGACGGTGACGCGTTGCAGCGCACGTCAAAGCTCGACCGTGCGACAATGCGACGCAGCGCTGCAATCGAATGTTGCGCACATAACAGTTTATGTTACGCTTGGAAAAAGTCGAAAATATTGCCTACACTGATGACGTAGCTGCGTTTTCGGCTTGCTTTGCGTTGCAATTCATCCTCGTCGTACGTCCGTGATGGTGCGCCAGAAGCGTGCGTTTGCGACTACGTGCACCAAGGTTCTGTACACGCTGTCACTGTGACCAACAGACACAATCATTGCGCCTAACACCGCATAGAATAGAATATGGTAATGGTAAGCGCTGCAGCTAGGGCTGGCTGTGATGCGCTATGCGACGCGACGTTGACTGCGCGCTGACGTTACACTGAGTGTGCGAGCGAGCGCGAGGTGAGTGAGTGAGTGAATGAATGCAGCGCGCAAAACCGCACAACCGCACACACACAAATAATGCAGGCGCGCGCATAAAAGCGATAGAAAAATGTTATGTGTTGGTCATTACTGCCTAACAAACACAACAACAATAACAGCAACGCTACACTCAGTATCTCATGTCAACAACATTGGTCTGTCAGTTGTCCATCCATCCATCCAGCCAAGCAAACCACATCAAACCTGCCTGCTTGCAATACTCTTCACAGTACTTGTATATATGTACATAAGTACATGGAACCGAACACGCGCGACCATGGATATGCGAGTGAGCGAGTGAGCGCGCAGCCGAATTGATAGACGAATCTTCGGCCCAAAAGTTTTCTTTCGCGCTTTTTTTCACGTTCGCCACCTAGCGACCACTTGCCAGTGTTGTCGTCAATTGGGCCGTTTGGTCATTTTTATATTTTTCCTTTCGTTTTCTCCATCCTTACGCGTTCACACGCAACCACACGTCCCCTACATGCGCACACACATTCTTCATACACACACACACACAAACAGAATTCTTCGTTCGGACACTCACTCAATCGTTACTCATTGTGTCGCCCCACAAATGTTATCCCCAAAGCAGGACATTTTTTTGCTCTTCTCGCCTTATACCGCAAGGAGGAAGAAAGGAGGGAGTGCGTACTATGCGAACATGATTTGTGTGAAAGCGCGCGCGCGCGCCGCACAGCGTCTTGTGTTAGGCGCACAGCAAAATGGAGCAAACAATTCGCCAATCGCCACCCGCACTCACACGCGTGGCAAGTAGCGACCCAGCAACCCTTACCAAAACAAAGCAACCCCAACCCTATAGCTGGGCGCCTTACTCTAATCTGCTCGGCTTGGCGTGGAGTACGCGCACCTAGTACTTGTAGTGGTGTGCTGTGCGTTTTGTGGAGGATCTGCAGAGCGTGGTGTTGTTGTTGAAGTAGTATTTTGTAGTAATTTTTTGTACCAACAAGTGTTGCGATTTTATTGGTGTTGCTGTTGCATTTGTCGCTGTTTTTGTTGTTGTGGTCGCTACTTGTAAGCTGTTTTGGTGGCGCATTTTGCGCCAAATATCCATTAACATTTGATGGAATCGTCAAACAATAAAAGAAGTGTGTGCATTTTTTTTACCAGACACGGCGTATTAATTTAGTTGGCAATGCTCGTTTTGTTGTTTTTGTAGTCTTATTTGTTGGCATTTTTACTATGTACAGTGGCAAGTGTTTTTCGGTGCAATGGAAATATTGCACAAATTTGTTGGTTATGTTGAAAATTAAAATAGTTTCAATCGCAGAAAAGCATAGTTTTTATGTGACCTACTTTTTTGGACTGAATTTTAATCTCACTTGAGGGCAATTTTAAGTGGTTTCTTCAGGGGCTTTAATTTTTAAAATTTTTTTTTTAATTTATTGTACAAATTGTGTTTATTTATTTTTTTAATTATTGTTCGTTTGATACATATATATATATATTTTTATTTCAATTTTTATTGTTTTTTTGTTTATTGACTTTTTTATTTTTTATTTTTATTATTATTTGCTTTTTTGTTTTGTAATTATTAAACAAAATAATTTATTTTACTGATTAACAACATAAAGTGCCTAAAATTAAATTCCAAACATTTCATTTAATGTTACTTTTTGCTCATCAAGGCATTAAAGGAAGCTTCTTCCTTCTAATATTTATTGTTTATGCTTTTATATTATTATTATACTAAAAAAATAAAATCTTTATTATTTTGATACATATTGATTTATTATTTGTTTTTAACGTTTAAAATATAATTTTTTTATTTCAGTAATTGGTTTTAATTTTTAGTTAAAACTCTAATTATAAACTTATTTTTAATTTTTAAACAATTTTTTAAATTTTTTTTATTTAATTTTTTTAATAGTTCGGTTACATTAAATTTAATTTTTAACATTAATTTAAGCGTTTCCTTTTATTTATTTTGTTAGCTACTGGCGGTTGGTTCACCACGTGGCTCCTTAAGGCATAGGTGAGTCGTCAGATATGCACCCTACCTACCTATCTACTAGCGGTTGGAATACTGGCACGTTTACAGTTATTAGTATTAAAAATTATTTATATCAGCTGTGTTTATTATTTTTTTTACAAAATTTATTAAATTAAAAATTATATTTTTTTAAATTATTTAAATTGTTATTATATATTATATAATAATATATTATATATATTATATATATTATATATTATTTAATTTGAAATATAAATTATTTAAGTCATAAATAAACTCCTTTCAGACTATATAAATATAAAATTCACTTTTATAAGCGTAAGAGTTTTTTTTTTTTTTTGGTTACAGTTCTTTCAGTTTTATGTTCTTTTGGCTTTAGGCAGTCAAAGTTCACCTTTTTGGCATTTTTATTTAATTTCTTTTACGAAGATTTCTTATTTTTGTTATATTTAGTTTTTCATAATTCACTTAGAAACAACTTGAAGTGAAGCACCTTGAATTATTATTGAATAAAAGTATTAAACTTAGTAAATTTTTATTTCTTAAACTTCTCAATAAAATTTTAATTATACATATTTACATATTCTTCAAAATAACATATTTTTCAGACGCGTTCTTTTTCCGAACTTTGAAACAGTCACTTTCAAAAAGCAATTCACTTTATGTTTAACCGGATTTTCAAATTTTTTTGTTTAGTTTATTATAGTTAACTGTTTCTGGTTCCCTAAAATATCAAAACACTTGCATACTGTAACCTTTTTAATAAATTCTCTACATTTTTGAAGCCTTTCTTCTTAAATACTACTCGTATACTTTCATTCTTTAATTTGATAATATTTTACTATTTAAAGCACTAAAAATCCATATAATAATTACCAATTTGCTAGCTAGTCATTGAATTTCTTTATTTTTCACTATTTACTTTGCTATGAATATAAGTCTTCGTAGAAAACAGCAAAAATATGTACACATTTTTCACGCTTCTGTAAATTCCATTTCTCAAACACGGGTATGTGCTGTTGAGTATTGTCTAATGAAATTTACTAAACTGCACTTAAAATTTCAATATTTTTAGTCACTTTATTCAACAGTTTTTTTTACACTTTGGTATTTACTACTATATTCCACTCTTCTTACTCACGAACGGTAAACTAACCTTTGATGCAAAGCAAGTACTAGGATAAAAAGTTGTATGGGTTGGTGTTAGGAATGTTTGGCCGTTTTTTGCCTAAAATTTTATTTAAAATTATTTACAAAACAGAAAACTAATAAATTATTTATTAAAAGTTTCAAAATTTTATATTGTCTGATTATCTTCTATTTTAAATTTGCGAGCACTTAAAAGGATTTTTTTTGCAATTTTGTAGTTTTGTTTTTTCTATAAAATTAGCACTCTGCTTGCTTTAAAACTATTTTTAATTTTTTATTAATTCAATTTGATTCAATATTCTTTTTAGCTTTTATAGTTAGGTGTACTATAAATTTTGTTAAAAAAATGCTGAAAATTTTGTTTTTTTATTTTAAAATAATATTTATGAGTTGTTAATTTATTTACAGTTTTATCTTCTTTTTCATTAATTTTTAATATTTTTTGGTCTTTCATAATTTCTTCTTTCACATTTTAACTAGCAATTGTTTAATGTAAGAAATCTTTTGTTGCACTTAAAGCTAATTTAGCTTCTATTTTATTTTTGTTTATGGTTTTTTAATATCAGTTATAGTTTATTTGTATTACAAAATTAAATAGATTTTAGTTTTTTATTAGTTAAATTTTTTTATGTTATCTAACAACTGCGTTTTTATTAAATTTTTATTGCACTTAAATATGATTCTAATATATTTGCTTTTTATATATAGTTTTTTGTATTAATAACATTTTTGGTTTGCTTTTATTACAAGAGTAAAAAAATGTAATATTTTAATTAGTTTTTTTTTTTTAAATTATAATTTTGTTTTAATTTTATTTAATTAAATAGCCATTAATTAAATAGCCATTTCGTTATATAATGTATATATAACCAACTTTCTATGCACTAACACACAAATTTCACTCAAATTAAATTTTTTAATAAAAAAAATTATAATTCACTTCGGCTGCATTGCCGTCGGTCAAACGTTTCGACATTTTTTCAAACCTACCGCACTTTCTCACTGCTATACTTCCGCTATGCGCACGACGTTTACTGCCTTTCCCGCTTCGCTAATGCTTCGTCGCACTCAAAACACTTTTTTCCCAGTTCACTTTGCATACTCGTTTGGCGTTGCATTTTTACAAAAGTCTCATTTTTTTCGAAAACTTTTAACATTTCACGAAATTTTTCTTATTTCAATTACTCAAAAGAGTTCGGTGCACACTTCGTTGGCACGGCAAAAAACAAAAAAGTAATTTCTTTCCGCCTTTTCTACACATTCAGCCGCCGCTGGTCTTTCTCTAGTCAGTTAGTTAGCTATTTGGTGCTATTGCCGCAAATGCGATCCGTTCTTAGCCGTTGCGTGTCTCGTCTCGTTCGTTGCAAGCGAGTAACTTTTTGCATGTGTTGCGTTGCGTTCGCTGAGTGTGCGAATATGCGGTGGCTGACTGCCGACTGCCCGACTAGCTGACTGGCTGACTTGCTGCCTGCCTGGCTGGCTGCTTGCCTGCTTGGTTGGTTGGTCGGTTGCTTGCCTGCTTGGTGGCTCTTGGTTGTTGGTTGTTGCTTTAGTTGGCGTGCTAACTGGCTAACTGCACGAGTGGCTGCCCGAGTGGCTGCTATTGCTGCTGTCGCTAGCTGCTGCTGCCGCTACTATATCTATTTCTATGGCTGATTCCTTCCGCTGGCGTTGCCTGATGACGGCCTAAGTGCCCCACTGCCAGGCTATCTCACTGGCTGGCTGGCTAACTAGCCCTGTGTGTCCAACGGCGCTGACGCACTGACTCGCTGGCTAGCTGGGATGACAAGCAGACTGTTTGGCAGATCGACTGGCCCGCTCCTATTACCAACACACACTCGATACTGTCGCTGATGTCTGGCCTGACGTTGTGCTGCCACCGCGACTCTAGTCACTTTCCTACATACACACACATATATACACTTCGCAATGCTGGGCGCAAACATATGTCGTTGTGTGCGTCTTCTAGAAATTTTGTATGTGCGAAGTGCCGCTAATGCCGTTTGAGTGAACTCACTCGCTCGCGGACGCTGCTGCCATAGCCATAGTCTCCTACGTATTATTCTATGCGATACGTTGAGTTGTTGCTGTTGTTGTAGTGGTCAGTAGTGTAGTGGATGCGTGCAGTTGTAGTTGTGGCGATCCGCAAACATTTTGTGTGAAGCCAAAACGCATTAACACTCAAAGCATCAAACCGCTGCCGCCAGCGTCAAAACTTAGAGAAAACTCCGCGGAGGAGCAGGCGGCCGAAAAATTCGTGAAATATTATGTACGGCCAGTGTCACTGCCGTGAGAAACAGTAAGTTGTCCACGCACACATACAGGCGAACACATATAGTTCATAGTTGTGTGTTCAAACACTCAGAAATTTACAAATTTTACACAGCGCCACTTTACCCCTTCCGCGTTCACAGCCGTAACATATGCGGAGCAGCGCGGCTGTAAGCAACATTTGTTGGCGCTCAGCGTGCGTTCTTCTAGCTAATTCATAGCTGAAATGCTACGCGAACAAATACACACACCCACAAACCGGCACACCATCGAACGACCACCGACGATTTACTCACCAACTCACTGTGCGTTTTTAGCTCCTCAAACAGCGCGCGCCCCTTGCGCCACCAACCGCTCCTTGACTGCAAACAGTGCGACTCGGAGGCACACACTTGTTCACGCCACGCTCTGTGCGAAAATGCAATTCCACTCAAACTAGTCTCCTAAACCTCCTATTGGTCTTACATATGTGCGGTTACGAGTGCGAGCCACGTACCGGCGCACCACACCCCGCCCACTTCACACACGGCGACTAGCAGTGGCATTTCTATTTGCAGTCAACGCACAATTCGCATGCGAATCTAAACGGCAGAGAGTTTTGTTGCGACAAAGCGTCCAAGAGATTGGGAGCGTCGGAGCGAATGTTGCAATTTGAACTCCTGTTGGCCTACAGCTGCGCTCAAATACTCGAGGAGTGCGCCTTTAAGAGTCACTGTGTATCAAGGAGAATACGACACATACACCCAGTCACTCAACTACCTGCAAACTACAAAAATCATCAAGTAGTCTGCGGCTTTTGCTTAGAAATTAGCGCTCACTAACACCCTCTACCCCTGCCACCTGTTCACACACATACACAAGCGTGCGCTAAATTTACTCCTGCTACACGCTTTTACTCTTCCACTGTTTAAGCGTAACGAGTTGCAAAACATATCCCCACCATCAAACATTGCAAATAAACACTCTTAAATGTTGTCAGCAACATGTTGCAATAGCATAGAAGAGCGCCAAGCGGCATTTAACTGTACTGTAAAGCAATCATAGTGGTAAAACACCTCAAAAATTTTAATATCATTAATTTTTAGCTCAAACTCATGCCTTTTTCGTTACTTTTTGATCCGCTACTGCTCTGCAACATGTTGCTAGCGCGCACAGTTTTGTAGTCGTAGTATAGGAAGTGTTTAACGTTTGAAGTAGGCGATTTCTCCATTTGAATTACGTACTTTGACATGCGTAGAATATTTTGTTGAAGTTTTTGCGAGAAGCGAAGGGTTTATGCATATGTAGATCAATGAATAAAATAGTTTTCGGCACTCGTAGTGCAAATGAAAAGGTGAAATGTTAACGAAAAGTTCTTTAACCTAATTCGGATGGCTGGCAAATATTTGTTTGTGTGTTTTGTTGATACTTCCATAGTATATATTTTAAAAAGCAAATAATTTAGCAGCAATTAACAGCTAAAATTTTTTTTTTATATATGAAAATATATATTGATTTTATAGTTTTTAAGCTTGTATGCTTATGTTTTATAGTTTTTTCGTATTTTTGCAGTTTTTAGTTCATTTGAACTTATTCCATATTTTCAAATATATTAAATTATTATACAATTTTGTTAAATCATTCTTTTTCAAATTATTTAATTAATAATCTGAAATTAAAAAAAATTCGGTTGTATTCATATGTTGTTAGGTTATGCTATCATACTTTTATAATAACATACAAAAATTGTACTTCGATATCTCAAACAGTTTTTGAGTTACAGCCTTCTAAAGTGTAACCGCTTAGCTCAAATATCTCAGTTTATCTTAAAACGCGATTTTCTCAAAATTACATTTTTCAAAAATCTTAAGTGATTACTCGAAGACAAATTATCCGGATACTATTTAATTTTTACTGCATATTCAACATATATGTATGTACCATCCATATAATAAACTCTCAGCTATTTGATCAAATCAAAAATCAAATTTTCGAGGGCCAAAAATTACCAAAAATATGGGGGAAAATATTGAAAATTGTTGATATAATATTTTTTCAACCGTAGGTCATTGTACGTACAATATCTTCTAGTAGATATTATTTTAGGTTTCATCGACGGAGAAACTGTAGCAGTGGAGGAGGCGCAAGTCAAAAAATTTCTAGATTTCTAGATTTCAAAAATTTTACTGTGTATTCTTAAATTAATTGAAATGAAACAATTGATACATTTTTTTGTTTAATTCCAATTTTTTTAGTCTGTCACACTAGGTTTGCGCAAAAAAAAATAATTTTACTCCATTTCATTTTGAATTTTAATTTTCGTTTCGTTTCATTTTTGTTTTATGTATGTTATTATGTAATTTTAATATATTTAATTTAGTTTAATTTAATTATTTAATTATATTAAATTTTTTAATTTATTTTATTTTATTTTAAGTTATATATTTTCTTATTAAATTAGCAATAATTAATCTGTACGATTTATTATTTTTATATATTTACATTAATTCATATATACATATATTGTTTTTAAACAATACTTCCGGCTAAATATCAGATCAACCTCATTCAAAATTCCATCATACAACTATTTCCAGCATTTTTGATTTTATTTAAAATTTTTAACTACTTTTTTACATCTACAATTTCTCCGCCTCTATCTTTAGACATTTCTTAACTAATTTCGAATTGCTGGCACACATTTGCATATACTTACAAGTATGTACAAGCGTGTATTTTGCAAAAGTGATCTCGTTATCTATCTAAAAGAGGCATATCTATGCGTATACCTTACAACCTCCAATGTCATAATAAAGGCAACGAAACCGCCAGCAAATTACGCTCCTAACTACTTGAACTCTTGCCGAAATCTCTAACGCTCCTCTATCATTTGTCATTTCATAGCATTTTTATTCGGCTTTTACACGTTTCTACGCAATTCATATGAAAACGAGTGGAAATAAAATAATTTCTCATACGCACACGCGCACACACAAATTAAAATAAAATTTGCAAATATTCGCAAAATATACAAATACATACATGGCATACTCTTACGAGACCAACCACTCAACGCTCAATTTTCGCAATTTCACAACAACAACACTGGCAAAACAGCCGCGCAACATTTGTGTGACAAGCAACATGTTGCGCCGCCAGCGCACTCAACATTCTACATGTATATTCGCAAACTCACCAACACGCACTCACACACACAAATGCACAGCGTGGTCCTCTTATGTTTCGCACTCGCTCGCGCCAACGTGTTCGCCCGCTCTGCGGCTCCCCACTTCGGCTGCGTATGACATCAGCGACGTTGGCGGCGTCGTGACTCTTTGCAAATTTGCGAATTTTTTGCCAATTCTCTTGCCATCATTTATTCTATGCTGAAAAATGAAATCGTACTCTGTTGGGGTTTGCGAATTTTCGCTCACACACTTGTGGCGAACTTTTGTTTTTTTTTTATGGTCGGCTAGCGCTGCTAAGTTTGAAGAGTCTACTCAGTGAGTTTTGCAAACGCCGCTTATCTGCGTATGTGTGTATGTACGCCACAATTGTTCGAGTGCGATTTTTTTCTATTGCTTATTGCTTTTTGTGTGAAGATGATCCGTTGGCAAACTACAACCGCGACAAACATTAAACAAAATAGATTACAACAACTCAAATAAACGCAACCATGCGACCGATAAAGATTTATTTTTGTTAAACTAGTCGTTGGAACACTCATATATACATATGTATCCATGAGTGTGTGTAATCTTATGCGAAATATTTACAGAAAGCATAAAAATGTTTATGCAATATGACACGCTCAGTTAAAGTTCTGAAATTTGCCGCTAAAACTATTTTTTTAATCAAAAAGGTTATCCAAGATGTGATTTCAATTTAGTAACTTTACTTTATAGAACTTGGTATAATTTTCAATAATAGGGGTCTTCGGAAATTGTTTGAGGTTATGTGTTTGCCAAACATTTATTTTGGTATGAAACAGTTATGAATGAAAAAATTAATTTAATTTATCGATAAAAATTGTCAAAATATGTTAGATTAAGTAAAAAATCGAAATCTCCATAAAAAAATTAACTATATATTATATAATATATATAACTACTACTTAAAGCTATCAGAAGCAGAAAGTAGGAAATAGTAGTGGTAGGAAAATAGGAATAAAATCAATTTAAGAAAGCAAAAGCTAAATAAAAAACTCTCTTAGGAGATTCCTTGGTTTTACGCAGGCCTTATTATATATAATTTTTAACGATTCGAGGACCATGCCGCGCAAGACTTAGAATCAAGAATCAAGTCAACTAATCTGCATCGAAAAAACAATAAAATATTTATAAAAGGTAAACTAGTATTAGAGAAAAAACAACACCCAAAAACAATTGTCGTAGCAGTTGTGAACATTTTAAAATTTGCCTCAGAGTCAAATTGGTGTGACTAAGACCGACTCAGGTAGTAAAGAAAAAATCGCTGATGCGCTTATGCCAAGAATTGTATTATCTAACGAATTTTATTACGTCTACTAAAATATTATAATTCGCACATCCTTAAACCGCAACTACCGTGGAGTCTTCAAGATATATTGAATAATAATTTCGGAAAATTTATTTCCGTGAATCAATGGCGGATGAAGTTTTATAATATTTTTCCAATTTTCCTTCAGTTACTTTTATTAAAATCTAGTAAGACCTACCATACTAAACAAAAATGTCAAAGCGCTTGAAAAGCTTAATGTGGTGTTGCACTCTACGTCCGAGTTTCAGTACTTTTCGGGTATATACATGGTAGAAAATCATATAAATTTGAAGTATATAGCAGTTAGCGTAGCATTATAGTTGTAATTATATGTGCGACTTTCGAGATAATATTAATAAACGGAATTATAAAGAAACAGCCATAACCTTGGGACAAAGGTATAGCTATATATAACCAGGAAACTATCTGTTTTGAGTTAGACAACCATCAAACTTCAAAAAATAGGAACCTATCTGAACCAACTATGCATATCAATAAATTGTAAACCCTTTCAATTACTTTACCATAACTTCAATATAAGATTCGGAATTGTTGTCGACTACTCTTAAGTGCTGAGAAAATAATCGATACAGAGATAGGAAAAGTGCTTATCCTCCAAAGAGGTTCCCTGCTCCTAGAAAGTGATAATATTTTGAAGAACTATAAAATCCTAATCATTCACTTTATACTAAGAATTTTAACATAATATCACCTACTTTCAAATCTGCGATAAC